ATAGTATAAATAGTATCTCCTTATTTATCTATTCTGCCTTCTAAAGAGTAGTCAAGTTGTTTTCATGTTTGCTATTATAGTTCTCAGAGAGGGTCAATGGTAAACTATGTAAAGCTTGATAAACTGCTATTCAGTGTGATTCTTAGTGGAATAAACCTCATGGATTATTACATTAGCTTTGCTTAGTGAGAGGCACAAGCTGCTGAGGGGTTAGGGATGTAGTTTTGCTATAGACTGTATCATACACTGGGTCCTGGGCTTGGTTCCTAGCATTACCGGAAAAAGCAGACAATGGTTGACCTTTAATGAGTGGATTTTTCAGTTTAGAGATTGGTTTCATTTTAAAGGATTCAAAATGTTTATCATAGCACTTTGCTTTGAAATTCAGATCAGCTGCTAATACTTGTGATGAGACCCGGTATGTACTCAAGTAGATTTAAGACTCAGAAGACTGAGTGAAACTTTCATGGTCACACACACACACACACACACACACACACACACACATCTGTTCATTTAATAATTGGACTAAGTAAAATACTGTTTAGTCATCCAGGTATGCAAGAGGTCTATGTAAACAATATTTATATTAGTAAAGACCTTCTGACACTACAGTTACATAATCAGCATCCTTTTTTATGTAGTTTATAGTTGGGTACTTCACTAGGTTTCTATAAATTATTCAGAGTCTAAGTAGGTAAGATTTGTGAATCGCCTACTTTAGTTTGGAGGAATTAATTTATTTGGTAATTCCATATGCATATATGGTAAATAAGTCCTGGACTTGTTTCTAAAGGGGAGAGCAAGGTCTCTTGTTACGCAGAGTGAAAATCTAGATTTGCTGTTTGTGGGAATAGAGTAGTGATTAAATAGTGTTCTTGTGCTCAGTGCCTCCTTTCTTACCAAGCTGTCTGTGACTGATTTGCAGTATCATTCCGAAAGTCAGTGTTAATATGTCCACTTTCAGTGGGGAAATTGCAGAATGATAGTCTAGGTCGGCATCAGGTGTCTTAATCACAGCTCATACATACACCCAGCTGGCTAGTCAGCCTAGTAAGGCAATTCACACCCAAATGAGGCAACTTGCTGTTGAAGTAGTGGGTAACTTAATGGCTCAGTTTCTTCATTGGTAAGGTAGGGCTGTAATAATGCCAATATTGGCATAACAATTTCAAGATGTTAATACATTCATCAAACTTGTCAATAGTGCTTGCCTGGTACTCCTCCCCCACGTGCACCCAAACAATGTGAGATGTTACTTCTAAGCCTGTAATCATTCACTAATGTCTTCTCTAGTTGTTGAGAGGGGTGGGTGTGGGCTATAGGTTAGTTTTTAAGAGAATATCCTGTGCTTTCAAAACAAGTCTTGGTTTGGTTTTCTTTGGACTTTTGGGTAGAGGTAACTGTTGAGGTAAGAGTTGAGGACACTGTGGAGGAAGCAGTGTTCTCAAGTCCTCTTTGTTCCTTCAGTACAGCCAGACTCCAATGTTGGACTTCTTCCTGAGGCCAGCCTGTCTGGTTTCTTCTTCCATAGAGAAGCCAGCTGTGTGATATGCTGGTCACTTCCGCCCTTAGGCTCTGAGTGCTGAGGGCACGCAGTGCTCATGGAGTTTGCAGCCATTGGCCTTGAGCTGGCTGCTGCCCTCCCCGTATGTGCTGTACCGTGTGTGCGTGTGTGCGTGTGCGCGTGTGCGTGTGTATAGAGTGGCTTTGCTGCATTACTCAAGACACTGCCTTTTGTTGCGCACGATGTGTGATAGAATTAAATGTCTGTTGTTAAATGCTATCTGTCGTACCTTCTAATAAGCAGGTTATTTCCAGTGGTTGCCATTTATAGCTCTTAGTAATAGTCACACACACTTTCTTTGGCAGATGGGACAGTTTCTTTAAGGTGGCGTAGTTCAAGTTCTTTAACTGACGACAGTTAGAAACATGGTGCACTTGAGCTTGTTAACACAAGTGTACATGGAGCAGCAACTTGGAGGACTAGTGTTAATTACCTTACCTTTGTTGCCTTGCTCCTGCTTTATAAGATGCAGATCAGACACAAGCACAGAGGTGAGGCTCCATCGCCTGGGCATTGCCTGCCATTAATAACATACTGCTCTGGAGTGGTCATTAGGATCACTATGTTGACATGCAGTGCATCTTCCAGCTTTTGCTATTAGTGAGATCACTGGAGTTTCTGTTTGACTCACACTCTTCCCAACTTCTGATATTGTCAGGTAGGCAAGAAGTGACATTTTTTAATTGCCTCCCCCATTTACTAATGTCTTTAAAGTGTATTATACAAGGGATAAATGTGTAGCTCATTAGTAGACTACTTAACCTAGCATGAGTGAGGTTCTGAGTTCCATCTTGGCCACTTCCCAAATGTATAATACATACAGGTTTTTACTGAAGGGCAGACAAGGCTGGCGTCCAGGAGAAACATCATCATGCCTGACTCCATTGCTCTGGTAGAAAGTAATACTGTAAGCATTGCATAATAATAAACGGCTTTACTGTATTGTATGTATACTGTGCTAGACATCATGCTAAGTGCATTGTACATTTATTCTTGTAAGAATCCCACAAGAGCTGGGCAGTGGTGGCACACTCCTTTAATCCTAGCACTCGGGAGGCAGAGCCAGGCAGATCTCTGTGAGTTTGAGGCCAGCCTGGTCTACAGAGTGAAATCCAGGACAGGCACCAAAACCAAAACTACACAGAGAAACCCTGTCTCAACCCCCTGCCCCCCCCCAAAAAAAAATCCCATAAGATTAGCACCTTATGCAAGGCATGATGGTGCACACCATTATTCTCAGCACTCCAGAAGCCTAGCGAGGCAGGGGGATTTCTGTGAGTCTCAGGCTAGCCAGAGCTATACAGTGAGACCCTGTCTTTGATGTTGGTTTTTGTTTTGTTTGAGACAGGGTTTTTCTGTGCAACCCTGGCTGTCCTGGAACTCTCTGTGTAGACCAGGCTGGCCTTGAACTCAGAGACCCCTGCCTCTGCCTGGGATTAAAAATGCTGGAGACTCTGTCTTTAAAAAAAAAAAAAAAAAA